CTCGCCTGGGAGGCGTGGCACCAAGAACCGCTGAAGGAATCATCATGAAAACCTAAAAAAAGCATGGATCGCAACTTCCTTCTTCACAAAATGCAAACAAACATGGAGTAAAGTCAGATTTTAGTGGTTGTAGAATTTATTTATTTTGATTTTGGCAAATGTTCCAAACAAACAGTCTTCAACAATGAGCTCAGCACGAGAGGAAAATGAGGCGGAACTGGAGAGTATTGTTTTCCAAAAAAGGCGGCCGAAACAGCCCCGAATGAGGCGGCGTTCACCGAGTAGGAGCGCATCCAACTACAGAGCAGTGATGTCCATCTTATACAGACATCGAGCAAGGTATTTAAAAGATATGGGCAGTGGTGGGAACAGTTCCCCTAAAGCACTAAATCACTAATATTGGAACTAATACCCTAATTGGTGCTTTAGGGCTTTTGCTAATTTTAAAATTTATTAATGGATTATCACTTGCTAAATTTATAGGCTAAATTTAGAAGCACTAACTGAGGTCTATAAATGTTATTGATCAACATTAATGTGACTCATGTTGTCWGKTGAAGAATGTTCATGGGTTGACTGGGTTATTTTAGTGCTTTAGAATTARCTTTTGCTAAAACTTTCAGAGCATTAGTGCTTTAGAATTAGGGGACCTAAATATTTGAGTTAATGTTTTAGGGCTAGTGGAACHAATTTTTARATTAGTGCTGCCTACTATTGGATATGAGTATATAATACTCAGAATGTCCTAAGTTYAGTTCGCTTCCTGTTTTTAAAGCGGTTTCTGGTCTGCTTGGCATCACTTCAACCAAACCGGGCCTAAGTTTTCAGGTGGACTAGAGTCCAGATTTTCTGGGCAAAYGAACTAGAGTTTGATTAAAGCGGGGCTGGTGCGAATACACCCTAAAATTATTGAGTAAATGGCATTATGGGTGATCTCATGTAATGCAGATCTATTAGTGCTCAGAATAAAATTAATGTTGATTATTTTGCGTGTTTGCTGTTGATGTACACACAGTGATTACTTTTAGTGTGTTTTATTACATTTTATCCAGTTTGGTAACAGACAAACACACAAACACACACATATATAGACACAGGTGAAAACATTCCAGCCCTCTCACCTTCAGAGACAACTATGAAAATGACACTATTACACTTTATTTATCAATTATTGATTATAATGAGAATCACATTAAATTACTGTCACATTTCTTCCCCTTCTCACTCAGATTATTTTTTTATTATTTCATATAAATCCTGCTAATGTAAATCCTTCCCACTGAACCAGATGTAAAATGGCTTCGAGACGTCGACTAAAGAAAGCCCACTGCCTGGTTAAACTGAATAATGGGAGCTCATTACAGGATTATGGACCCCTGTGAAAAGAACAGACAATGACCTTCATTTGCTGTTCTTCTTCCTTCAAAGAGTCTAATTAATGCAAAAGGGGCTCATGGGGAGAAAAAAAAGCAAGGTGCAGAGGGGTTTTTACCTGTCCCATAGCTTGACATTTCTACAGTTGTTGGAGCAGCAGCCAGCTGATATCAAAGCTGTGGCAAAAAGAGAGAAGAGGGAAGACACAGAGGAAAAGTCTTAAATGTGCTGTTGTGACAGGCCTCATTAATTTAGAGCTGACTCGTGTCTGTTCAGACAGCTAAAGCACAAAAAGATGACTCATGAATAAAACACTCGCAATGACTAGCAGCTTCTGCTAGCATCTGAAATGTGTGCCAAATGTGGAAGTGGGAATACGGCAGTGCCACACACATCACTCCAAAAAATGACTAAACTGAAAGACAAACTGAGAAGACAAAGTGTGACAGGCATTTTGGGAAATGTCCAATCCTTCCAATGAGAGGAAGATCAGATGAGTAAATACACTTTCATGTCTATAAACAAGACGGTCTCATGGCAATTTGTGCCACTGACACATAAAAAATGGGGAAATTGCATTTTTTTTTTCAAAAATGCAGTGCTGAATGAGTTACTGAAAAGCTGAAACTGAGCTGCAACAGCTAAGAGAAGCACAAAATTAGCTAAAATTAAAATGAATGAAATGCTAGATATAAGCCGAAAGTAACAAAGTGTGAATTATAACTRGCAAAATACTAACTGAATGCTAAAAATTGCTAAAACCTAGTTAATTGMTAACATTATTAAAAGGCTAACTAAAAGCAAAATCAGTAGGTTAAAACTAGACGTAGAATAAAAGACCTAATTCAAGTTAAATTTTCTTAAGCAGATTTTAAAAAACTGGGGTTTTGAATGATATGATGAGTACGGAAGAGGATAAGGGACACAAATCCAAAAAAATTATTTTGTCCTAAATTCTGTATTTAATCTCAGAGTTCTGAGAAAAAAAGTCAGAACTCAGGGATTTTTTTTATTGTGTGTGTGTGTGTGTGTGTGTGTCTGTGTGTATGTATGTATGTATA